GGAGGCTGCCTTGCAATTTCATTTCAGGGTTCGTGAGGCGCGCTCCAGACACAGACTCCAGTTGACTCATTTCGACGGTTGTGTCGTGGACTCCAGCAGCTTCCATTCCTGGAACACGTCAAACCTTTTGGTAAGGTCAACTTGGAAATCTTTCTGCTGATAATCCCAAAACAGCCTTTAAAACATGGCTGACATACCCAGGGTACCTTTAGGGGTCCTGGATGCTCTCTGAGCTTGGTGGTTTTCAGGCAGATTATTTTATTACCCAACTAGCAGGGGTACCTGTGCTTCACTACGAAACTATGTGATCAGGCTTAGTTTTGGGGGAGAAAAAAAAACATCTCTGCCTCCCAGCATCCATCAGTATTCATCTGCCTAGCGTCCTGTCAGTGGGTGAGAGTTGAGGACTGTTTGGAAACTGGAAGTGTCTTTGCTGTGTGAGCAAGGAGACGACAGCAAGGAGCCTGGGCGTGGCTTAGCTCAACTGTTCTGGACTAAAGCTGCTTGCTGCTCTGAAACCGAAACTCCTCTGCTTGTGTTTTGCATTTGGAACAGATTTCTTTTCAGGTGGGGAGGGGGAGTAGAACTCCTTAGCATCAGAGTGTGATGATGATAATAATAATAATAATAATAATAATAATAATAATAATAATAATAATAATAATAATAATAATAATAATAATAATAGAAATACTCTAAATGCTCTGATGGTTGTTTTCAAAAATCCTTTCTTAGTGAGCACCCAGAAGCCAAGAGGAAAGATACGGGCCAAATGTCAAGTTTGTACACTTGACGGTCCTGGAGATTTTGTGATGATAGATAGATAGATAGATAGATAGATAGAGAGAGAGAGAGAGAGAGACTAGGTGGTATCCTCAGTGCAAACCTCTCCCCCTCCTCTTTTAGTACTGATGATGTCACCTAGTTTGGTGATGTAATGTCTGCAAGAAAACCACCAAACTCAAGAGAGCACCAAGGATCCTGCAAGTCCTCTTCCTCCTCTGCACAAACCCTCCTCCCTTCTAGCGTTGATGTTGTTCCCTACTTGGGTCGTGAAATGTCTGCAAGAAAACCACCAAGCTCAGAGAGCACCAAGCACCCCCACCGTTCATTCTCGAGGTATAAACATTCTCTTGGTATAACCGAGCGTTTCCAGATAAATGCACTTGGATTTTAATTGATTTAATCTGTTCACATTAATCAATTTTGGGCTTCATTTGACGGAGTTCTAAGCTGCCCAGAGTTGCCTTCAACAGGGAAATGGGTGGCATATAAATTTAACAAAGAAATACCTCCTTTTTCAGGTAGGTAGGCGTGATGTCTCAGTGGTTAAAAGACACCTGGTTTGTTTCAGCTGAAAAACGGTCAGTCTGGGTTTGAGACCCGAGCGCTACAGCCTGAGCTTCCAATTCCTGCCCACCTAGCAGTCCAAACACACGCAATGTGAGTAGATAAATAGGTACCACTTTGGCAGGAAGGTAACAGCGTTCTGTGTGCCTGTGGTGGGAGATAAGCCATGCTGGCCTCGCGACCACAGAAAATGTCTTTGGACAAGGGTCTACGACACCTTACCGTCATGACCGGCTCTCTATGGAACAATGCGCTGCAGGACAAGAGTTATGCTACAATTGAAGAAATGGTCAAATAGAATCATTGAAAAAAAAAAAGGATGCCAAAATAAAATGGCAAGGGCCTTCAAACTTGGCATCTTTTAAGACTTGTGGACTTCAACTCCCAGAATTCCCCAGCCAGCCAGCCATGTCTGTTTCTTTTTTTCTCTTTAACCTCCTAAAGTGGAGCGAGATTGCAGAGGAAGGGATTCCAAGAGAGTAAGCTATGCTGGCAGGAGAAGTCTGGGAGTTGAAGTCCACAAGTCTTAAAGCTGTCAAGTTTGAAGACCTCTGAAAATGGGAATGACAAAAAATTAAAAATCAATGTTTGATGATTTTGAACAATTAAACTGGATGGTTGAATTCATGGCTACAGTGAGTTGGCCATGGCGAGTCAACTACAGCGAGCTCTCCCCTTCCATTTGGACAAGGCTGGCTCCCTCGGCTAATTAACGGAAATGAGCAACGGGCCCTACAGTTGGGACACAACCGGAGAAGGGAAACCTTTTTAACTTTGATTGTCTAACCTTTCTAGAGACGGGGGTCCTCCCCAGCTGCTGTTATCGTCTGGCTTTACCTCCCCCGTCGGTCAGTGGTGGGTTTCAATTTTTTTTTTTTAAAACCACCGGTTCAATGGGTGTGGCTTGGTGTGCGTGCGCACCGAACACGCACTTTGCGCGGGCACAGAGAGACTTTCCGAAATCACCTCCTGCGCGCTCTCCCCTGTAGCTTCAAGCAGCTGCCGCGTGGCAATTGCGGTGCCGCGCAAAGCAGCGGCGTTTCAAATGCAGGACGTAAACGTTAGTATGGGAGCCTGGCCAGGCAGGTGGAGGCCCAACAGCACCAGCGTCGGAGAGAACCGCTACTGGCTTGGCAGAACCGGTAGAAGACCACCCCCCTGCCGTCGGTTGGATTTAATGAACCGTCCCCCCGCGCGCCCTTACCTTCATTTCCTTCTGGTAAGGGAGCAGGCGCATGATGAAATTTTGCAGCCGGCTGTCGTAGCTGTTGTAATCCAGGTAGAGCTCATGATCGTGAGTCAACCTGAGGGCCATCCGGCCGGCTATTTCGGCGGCCAACCGGACTGCCTTTTCCATCAGGGGGGCGCTGCTGCCAAAGGCCATGAGCAGGTTGCCGGGATTGTCCTCCGCTGTGCCGAAATAGGGGTAGGGGTAGGAGTCTCCGCCCTAGGAGGGAGAAGCAAAAACGGTGAGCCGTTCCACGGCGAGTGGGGTCTTTTTTTCTCGCCTCCCATTTTTCCTCTCGGCGAGCTTTCCGCTAGCAGCGGATTGTCGAGAGAGAAAGTGGGAGTTTTGCGCCAAGTTGCAAAACCCACTTTTGTTCAGAGTATTGCAGCGTCAATTCGGCGGCAGAAAAGTCAACGCAGGTGGCTGAGGCTTCATTTCACTTCTTTATAAACATATAAAGTAAATTTTACAATACCAGTTGTAGATTTCTCCAACATGGTGCAAGCTCAAACAGACGCAGACACGTTACAGGTTCAGAGCAGAGCTCTGGTTTTCAGCAAGCAAGCAAGCAAGCAAGCTAGTTTTTCTCTGTCACTTTGGAGCTGAGCATAGAACAGAGATAGATGCCCAGATTGTCTCTTTCAAGTTTCAGCCCTCAAATTCCAGCTCTCATTACCTGACCTTGTTTATTAAGCTCTATTCCAGTTCATGAATATATACTCTGACAACTTTTTTTGGCTGCTTCCATCGTCCCGAGAAGCAAAAAGTGTTTCCCATAACTGAACACACCAAAATTTTCAAAAACTTTCTGGCAAAACTAGGTCCCAACCTCTGCAAGATTTCACAGCACAGAAGCTATCTGGATCTCTGTTCCAACGGACAGGCCACCCTCTCTCCTATACAGGTAGTCCTCAATTTACAAAACAGTTCCGTTTAGTGACTTTCTGGCCTTGGGAAAAAAAAGTGACTTATGACAGTTTTTCACTCATGCCGCAATCCCATGGTCATGTGGTCAAAACTCAGGTGCCTGGAAACTGACTCCTATTTTATGATGGTTGCAGTGTCCCGGGTGTGTGTGTGTGTGTGTGTGTGTGTCATGTGATCCCCTTTTGTGACCTTCTGACAAGCAAAGTCAATGAGGAAACCAGATCCATTTAATGGCCGTGGAAAGGGGTAAAAATGGGACAAAATTCACCGAACAGCTATTTCACTTAGCAACAGGAATTCTGGGGCTCCATTGTGGTTGTACCTGCAGTCCTGCCCCCCCCCCCCCCCCCCCCCCCAGGACTTTAAGCAGGGGGAAGTTGCCCGATTTTAAAAGTTGTGAACTTCAAACATCCAGAATTCCCCAGCCAGCCAAGAATTCTGGGAGTTGACACCCACAAGAATTGAAGTGGACAACTTAAGTGGCCTTAAGACTTGAGAGCTTCATCCCTGGAAGCGCTCAAGAAGAGACTGGACAGCCCTCTGTTACGAACGGTATGGGGTCTCCTGCTTGAGCAAGGGGGTTGGACTAGATGACCTACAAGGTCCCCCCCCTCCAACCCTGTTGTTCTGTTCTACTTGACATCGGAGAGCTTGCTCGATGAACAGCAGCCCAACTTCTGAATGTGAGGATGTCCACGCTGACCTGGAATTTGATGCCAAGCTAGGCAACCCCCACCTCTCCTCAAAGCCAGTTAAGGAAGCAGCTTGCACACACACACACACACACACCCCAACGTCAACAGAGGCAGTTGAAAAGCTACTTGCACCCAAGGGGCGAGTTCAGAACTCACGTTGTTGATGCTGAAGGAGACGGAGGGGATCCCGGAAGAGGCGATGAACACTCTCGCTGGGTCATCAAAGCGAAACGGAACTCTTGAGGATAAGGGAAAGAGAGGGGGGGGGGAGTTTCAGCCACTGCTTTAGAACTAGTTTTTTTTAAAAGCCAGTATGGCCTAGTGGTTAAGGTGCTGGTGGAGAAACCAGGTTACGGCGAGTTGTAATCCCACCTTAAGCCAGCAGGGTGACTTGGGAACAATCACCAGGAGAAAATGAGTTCTAGTCCTGCCTTGAGGCAGAAAAGCTACTGGGTGACTTTGGGCCAACCACCAGGAGGCGGTGAGTTATAGTCCTCCCAACCTTAGGCATGAAAGGTGGCTGGGTAACTTAAAGCCAATCATTCTCTCAGTCCAACCCAACTCACAGGGTTGTTGTGGAGAAAATAGGAGGAAAGAGAACTATGTATGCTCTCAGTCTTGAGTAACTTATAAAGTAATAAAGGCAGGGGGTGGGGGGGAAAGAGAAATCTAATGAATAAATAAGCTATGGGATCAAAACTCCACCAATATACACCAACAACCAACACAAGGAAGCAACAATATCATGATTTTGGGGGGACTGGGTAAAGTTTTAGATTGAAGTTTATGATTACCTACACCGTATTCCAGCATAGACTAACTATCAAACAAGTTCACCACGCAGAGCAAACAAAGAGCACAGTCACCATACGCTTTACTGCTCAACTACATAACTGTAACAGGAAACTACTCAGAATAAAAGAGCATAAGAGTATATATACCAGATCCAAATATGTAAATACTGCCGCCTACTGGCTGAATACTACTGTAGTTGTTGCAGAGAAATACACTCCAACAATGAACGCCTACATTTATTTATATTCAAAGTTGAATTGTAGCTAGGATAAAGCTCATGACAGAATCTGGTTTAGGAGTTCTGCCTTGTGTTCGAACAGAGGAGATGACGCTCTAGATGGGGCAATGGCGAGGCATCACAAATGTAGGCAAGACCAAAAAGTTTGGAGATTTCTCTTGCAGGGGAAACAATTATGTTTATAAAATCTGACTATCAATGACAGCTTTTTAGCTGCTTCTCAGAGCTGTGAGCTGCAAAGTAGGAGTCCTATTGCAGCCACAGGAAGATCAGGGAGAGCCCAAGTTTCACTTACTCTTTGCTTGCAAAAGCGGCACGAAGATTGACTGACAAAAAGGAGACCTGAAAAAGGACAAAGGGGGATTGCATCAGACTCTTTCCGTAACAGGAATAATCCAGAGCCCCCACACCTCACACCCAGAGACTTAAAGGTCTGGGGCTCAATTCCAAATCCCTCTCCCTTGCCTGACATTTCTGCTGTGGCAGAACTTAAATCAGAAGGCAACAGCACAGAATAGGGAAGGTGA